GCTTTCTGGGGTTAGAGGTGCTGGTTACACTCCAGCTGCCTGTGACCGAGGGATAGGGTTTGCTCTATGTTCTTTACAGGCTGCTCTAAAAATAACACGGTCGGTGTAGCTTACTAGCAGCACCAAAACCTTCCCCTTGCCAGGCCTCTGTCTCTTTAGACCTGCGTGGGGAGGCCCAGGGGAACCGATTGCAACATCGTGGTTGCTGCCGCCTGTTTGGGGGGGTCAGCCAGGCTTGCGCTTGGGAAGAGACTCGCTGCTGGGCCAGTGGAGGGGGGAGGCTGCTCGCTACCTCTGACTCCAGGTCCTGCCCACGGCGAGGCTGCATGGCGGATCCCGATAGGCAGGGATGCTGTAAACCATGGCCGGCCAGAAATAGGTTAGCATAAATGGGAGCATGGTGCTTTTCCAAGCATCCCATGTTAATTAACACTGGTGACATGAATGGCTGTATCCTGTTTCTAAGGATCAGTGCTCAGGGAAAACACCATTTCACAGGTGTCTCTGGTACCTGTCTCCCAGGCCCTCTGTCTCTGCAAAATCTGGCCCCAAGACCTCCTGTGCTAACTTTCTGGCTAGCCTGGCTTGAAGTTCGCCGGCAGGTCTGCGTGCTTGCATGTGCACATACACAGAGTAAGGAGCACACTTGCACAAAAAACAGTTTGAAAAATACTTCAACAGAAAGATAGTATAGGTGATAGTGACCAGGCACAGGAGCTGGCTGGCGACTCCTCTTGATCCTTCTTTTTCCATGCTTTTGGCCCTTCCCTCAAACATCCTGTGAATATTATACCCAAATACTCCTGTTTGATCCCCAAATTGCCCGTCTCCAACATCCTATTATAAGCCCTGTATTCCTGTACATAGCATCTCCGCTTGGCTTGCATAGTGTTGCTGAAGGGGTTTCTCCTGCTGCATTGCCTGGGTGGGTTTTCCTGGTAGGGACGATGACTTAATGGCTCACCGGTGTGGCCTTGGCAGTCCAGCGTTTCATCCATCATTGATTAGGCTGTCTGGGTTCCCCGCCCTGTTGTGGTTCTTCTGGTCACTGACACGGTTCTTGCTTCTACTTTGAATAGCCCTTACCCAGATATCTTTCCACAGCAGTTTGATGAGACCTTTTTGGCCTGTTAATTCAGGGAGACTTCTGCAGCTCTGCCTGGAGCTGAGTGAACAACTATTACAATGCAGAAGGCAGAAAAATACAACTTTTCAAGTTGTGATTACAACAATAGTGAGAATAAAGAGAAAATGTGTAATTACGATGCTCCCTTTCTGGATAGAAAATTAAGATCTTGTGAATACGTGGAATTCTGCTCTAGCTTTTTCAAGTTTAGGTGGCCAGAAGCCAGAGCTTCTGCTGTTAAACCACTAAATAAAGAAGTGTGGAAGGAAGGCTAAGATGTTTTGCTGTGACACATTCTCACAATAAGCAGGAGTTGAGAAAATTTGAGCCAGGTAGTATATTTGGACTATTGTATTTAGTAGTTAAATGCACACATTTCAGATAGCTTGTTTAATCTCAACTTGCAGCCATTTTTACTTCTAACATATATCCCATGGTAGTCAGCTTTACAGTTTAATATATATGTCAGAATCAAGTGCTTCCTCATCATTCTCTTTACAACATGTTTGATCACTTCATTGGCTGCTTTCTCACTCTTGTACTACCAGAAATGTGAAATAATTACTTTCTATTCATATTCTGTGTGTCATGAGTAATTTTTGCAGGCCTACTCAAGATTTGTACTTAATAGCAGTGTACCAATTTTTATGGCGTTCTCTATTCCTTTCCTCGTAATTCCTGATATTGATCTTTTGACACCTCCAAAGACTAAGTGATGTTTTTCGGAGTTACCTGCAGTGATTTGAAGATGTCTCTGCCAAGTGAGAGTTATCACAGAGTAACAGGATGGGCTAGCGCAGAATGAAAATAGCTAACTTGGAGTTTATCTGTTTTTTCCCCTCTTTGTGGTGGTTTGCATTCCTGGCACTCATCTGAGCTTACTACCCCTGTGTTTGGTACCAAGAGCTTCCTGAACCTCCCAGGCAGTTTTATTTCTGACTGTTCTCAGGGGCATGAACTATCTGTAGTACGTCCTTGGTGTTGTGTGTTTGATGAGGGTTTTTGATAGTGGTATAGGGGTGGTAACTCACCAGTACCTCTGCATGTACTGTACTGTTACCGTGACCTGCCTGATGGACTTGTAGCTGAATGGTTTTCATTTGTAGGGTATTGGGTTGTCTTCCCCATTCCCGTATTTATTTTGCTGCCCTGTTTCTGTTTCCCTTTGGGAGTTAGGGGTGGGGAATTAATTGCCTCTTCCTACTTCCATAGTTCAGCTCAGTAAGACTGAACTCTCTTTAACTCCATTGGATTGCTCATTTGTTTTGAAGCACCAAATGAAACCAGGCATTTGCCCCTTTGGGCTCCTAGTAGACAACTTATATATTTGCTTCTGTTATCCATTAAATCGTTGGGAATGATGCATGTCTCCCTGTGGGATATCAAGAGCAGTGCTTTTTCCGTTCAGAGCAACTTGACTCTTGTCATACTTTTGTGTTGGGTTTTTTTTTAAGTTGCTAATCTACTGACTGGAGAGTTATCTGACATGAATTTTTAGTGAAGCCTGTCCCTCATTATGTTGTTTAGCCAGAACTGTCAAAAAGCTTTTGGAGTGGCTGGATTGCCACGGGGCTATGTCTGTGTGACGGTGGTACGGTTCAAAATTCACTGCTTGCTTACAGGACAGTTGCCATTCTTGCTGCCAGGGGGGAACTGGGCTCCTTGAGCAGTGTCCTGGCTCCGAGCTGTGCTCTGCCCTTTGTGGTCCTGCTGTGTGGGCCAGCACGGAGCAGGAGCCCTTGGGAGGTAGCAGGGACACTTACTGCGTGTGCTTAGAGTAAGCCTGGTTTTGATTTGTTTCTCAAGATAGCATCTCCTGAGCTGTTGCATGTGAAATTACAAGTGAGGGCAAGCTCCAACTCATGGAAGACTTTTAACTCTGTATTTAAATGGTCAAGATTTGGTTGATTGGTTACATGGACAAGCTTATTCCTAATGTATTTTATCTTACTACTTGTTCTAGCACGTAGCTATCTGGAAGAACCAACTGTTGCATTGGTGATGGTCAGATTTTCTTTTCCTTATACTTTTGATTGCTGTATGAATTGGTTTGTATAGCCATGGTAATAACTGCTATCATCCTTTCCTTCAGATTGTTATATTACACTAGTTATTTTAATTTTCTTTCTTAATTAACATCTTTCAGGGATTTTACTACCATGAATAGAATTGCAAAGGCTGGTACTCTCAGTTTAATTAAAACATGAAATAGTCTTGCTGCTTTGTTTTGTTGGATTTTTTTTTTTCTCTTTGCCTGCAATGGGTCTTGTGTTTTTTGATCTTTGTTGCACTCTAGATTAGCTTCAAATCTCTGAGACAGCTGCTTTTGTTTCCTCTTTCTGTTGGTAAATATTTAGCTGATCTTGGTACCCACCTCATACAGCAGATTTTCCTTGTAAATACAAGCCTTAGTTTTTTGCATTTCAGTATGATCAGCTGGATGCTTTTAGTCTGTACCTAGTCTACCAGTTAAAAGCATTGTCCATTGGAAACTGGTTTCTTTCTCTTACTTTTATTGGTTAGTATTGTGTTATCAGTAGTTATTTCCTACAGTATAGTGTTTAATTCATGTAGCGAATGAGCAGAACGTTTGTGTCTGTTCTCATTAGCATAACACTATAGCTGAAATTGAATAAATTTGATCGTGTTAAAAATGGCTGCCAAGGGGAAAGGGATTTTGAGGAAGCTTTGTATATGGTGAGAAGCTTCCAGCAAATGGATGCTGATGAGGCCCCTAGTAAGGGAAGAGACGGCGAGACAATATGAGTAGGAGAAGCTATGAAATGCTAGTAAGTGGAAGATGAGTCTGAATTTGCTAGACAAAGCCTCTGTATTAACTTCTACCTCAAGGAGAGAATTGAATCAGCTGAAAGTGAAGTGATTCTGGGTATGTGGCCAGTTGATGGTGAATAGTAACGGTTTATGACTGACTTAATTAAAAGGTAAATTCCACCCTCTGTCTTCTCTCTTCCAAGTATTTTGAGATAGAAATGTGGTTTTATCGCTGCACATCGCCTGGTGCAGTAAGACTTTAACCATGACTATAACTTCTGAATGCATGTGAAGCAGTGTGTAAAAGGCATTGCAGAACAGCAAGATGCTCTAGATGTTGAAGAAAGGAACCCATATACATCTTCGGATGCTGCTACATACCTGAGGAAAAACAATACTATGGTAAACTTTGCAGCTGGGAGTGTTGTTCATCTTATGTCAATGCAGGTCTTCTAGCATTAAGTACTTCCACAGCCCTAGCCATTCTCGTGCTAGGCTTTAAACTCTTGCTTTGTCAGGTCCCCTCCCCTTACGTCGTTGCTTTCTTGGTGCTCGTCTATGTCTTTAATATTAGATACTTGTGCTGGGTAGCAATTTCAGTTGTGTAATCCATTCCCAAATCTGTTCCCAACTTGCAGCTTTCCCTTTATTTCTCTCTGCTTGGATCAGCTTCCTCTCTCTTGAGTTTTGTGTCTCATCACTTTCAGAAAATTCCTCCAGAAAGTTGTGTCTGAGTTCATGAGACTCTCTTCATATCCTTTTTGTATGGTTGGAGTTTTTTGTGGTTAAATGAACTATGGGTATTGTAAAACATAAGCATCTAACGTATTGTCGCCAAATAGCAGCTTTTACTACAAAACAGCCTTTGTGCAAAAGAATTTTTCCCTCAGATATGCCCAGGGCTTGCTGCTTACGTGGCCTACAATGTACTCAGCTTTGGATATGTCCCATTGTTGAAATGTATGTGCACAATCCTGTCCTGGAATGCTCATTTAATTAAAAGTTAATGAGCAAAGTTTATAATACGCAAATGAAGGATGCATGTTAGTGATCTGGCCTTGCTGGCTTAGAACTCACATCTGTCTCCATCCTTCCCGTACAGGTAAATCAGCGCAATGTCCCAGGGATCGATAGTGCCTACCTGGCCATGGATACAGAGGAAGGTGTGGAAGTTGTTTGGAATGAGGTTCAGTTTTCTGAGCGGAAGAACTTTAAGCTTCAGGAAGTAAGTTGATACATTTCACAATAAGGTGTGGGAAACATACCACGCATGAGAGTGGGATTATAGATATTGGTGACCTTTCATGTGGATTATTGATTGGATTTGGAGTGATGTGCTGCTCAAATGTAGCTAATTCAGCTTAAGCCTGGCCTGTGCAGAAAATGTGATAGAGAGCTGCTGTTGTGCTATTTCCGTGGGTTCTTGTGTTGATTTAGTCTTGATGATCAAACCATGCTCAGCTGAGGTGCAGTGTAGGATGAAATCAGATGCTGTTTGTTCTTAACACAGGAGCTTGAAGTGTACAGTGTTGTTTAAGGGGACCAAAACCCAAGAAGAAAGTAAGATGTGGGCTGATATGGTCTCTGATGTAACATTTCTTTGTCTTTCTGATGTTAAGGAAAAAGTTAAAGCAGTGTTTGACAACTTAATTCAGCTGGAACATCTGAACATCGTGAAGTTTCACAAATACTGGGCTGATGTGAAGGAGAATAAGGCCAGGGTAAGTAAAGTGAACAGTCTGTTGGGTTTTCTCACTGTATGTTCTGTAGGTAATTCGTGAAACAGAGGGTAATGTCTCCTACTGCCCCTACAGGTGATCTTCATCACTGAATATATGTCTTCAGGGAGCTTGAAACAGTTCCTGAAGAAGACAAAGAAAAACCATAAAACCATGAATGAAAAGGTAGCTCTCTTTTCATGTATGCCTATTTTCACTTAGGGCCCTAAGCCTCTGGAAAGCTCTTCCAGTAGAGGATCCTGATGAGGAGGCAAGCTGGTAATAACATGTGTCTGCAGTTCCTTCTTATTACTGTAAACTAGTTTAGTTGCAAGTTCTCTTGGACAGCTGTTCAGTGCTGTTTGCTTTACTTCCAACAGTTCTGCAGCTTCATATGTGTGGTGTGACAGGAACGTCCCTTTCCATGTGTGCATACAGGAAAGAGGGAAGGCGTCTGTGCATGAGAGGGGTCAGGAGGGTTTCTTGACTTGTACGAATATTTAGAAACTAAACTGAGCATGAGAGTACTGATCCTCTTAAATTCTTACTTCCTACACACTCGGCTTTTACTGGGTAAAAGTAAAAGCTTTTACTGGGTAAAAGCTAAGATGCACAGAATGGAATGTATATTCCTTCATATGAATGGGCTATGACTTGCAGAACTATGGATTAGTTCCTCTTCCTTGAATGATTTTTATCCTTTTTGCTTCTGTGTCTGTAGGCCTGGAAGCGATGGTGTACCCAGATCCTCTCTGCTCTCAGGTATGTGAGTTACTGATCTTGTGGTCTAGCCATCTGTTTAAGTGTAAGCCTCGCTTGTGCTAGAATATTAAAACTGTAAACATACATGCTGCCAAACATGAGCAAACTTCATGGTATGGAGCCTGGAGAGGACTTTCAGAAAGTCACACAGCCTAATTCTTATCACAGTCATGGTCTGCAGTGTCAGTCGCGCTTCCTGTAACAATCCTGGAGTCTTCAGTTAGACCATATTGAATCCTCTAAAACAGAGAAACAGGTGCCACATATGTTTTAGATCCCAACAGTTGTGACTGATACAAACAGTGAGTGTGGGAGTTGAGCATCAGGGAGCTCTCCAGAGTATCCAATGTTGTCACCTGGATTTAACCATTTCCAAGAGGATGTTGCAAAGAAGTCTCAAAGAAATGAAATTCCATGTGAGAGGAGTGAGGAAAATTTTCTTAGTCTTGGCAGGCTGCAGCCCTGTAGGATGCAGTGGCTTGTAATTATTGTGGTGTGATTATTGTTAGAAGCATTTGTGGATCTATGCTTTTCTTGATGATGCAGATCATCTGCAGGCATCTTAGTGCAACCTAATTGAATAGAATGTGGGTGTGTTTTGTTTTGATTTTAAGGACTCTTCTCTACCTGAGCCAGAGTTGGTCTGTAGCTAATAACAGCCTTGGAAAAACAATAACCCAGATGTCAGAGCAAGACTCCCACTCCACAGAGAAAATTCTGTTGCTGTTTGGCTAAATATAACTGTTGGTGGATAGCTGGGGTTCTAGGAAGCTTTTGACAGCTTACAGTCCTTATTTGTGCTGGCTATGAACATAAAACCAAGCAGAGTGAGGTGCAAAAACAGGTAGCCTCAAATGTACCTGGGACCCCAGCACTGAAAAGATTTATTTGTGCCTGCTGGAAAACATGACCAATCATGTTTGTAGAGCACTGAGTGCCTTTTTGATGCCCTGTGGATAGGGCCAGAATAAGGCTCTGATCTTTTTGGTATAAAATTTGAACCCTTTTAGCACCCACCTAGCAGCATTGGGATGGATGAAATAGTTTCTTTACCCCTGGTACCCTGGTTTCTTGTGAACTGATCAGAGAAAGCTTGCTTTTTTCCCCTCCATGTTGTTAGAGACAGCTGCTCAATTTCCATGATTCCTGCCTAGAGGCTGATACACAGTCACTTAATTGTACCTCCATGCTATTGTAAATCCCTGGCATGTGCCCTTTGCCCTCCTGTTCTCTTTTGATGTTGCTTGAGAGAGGGAAGGGATGAAGGGAGGGGTTCCTGGCCTCAGTAAGTCTCCTGACCAGTGTCCTTTTCTGAATCTCTAGCTACCTCCACTCCTGTGATCCTGCAATCATCCATGGTAACCTGACCTGCGACACCATCTTCATTCAGCACAACGGACTGATCAAAATTGGGTCAGGTAAGTCTTGTTGGAGGTGACCCTTGCCTATGAGACAAACTGCTTGAACAGAAAAAGACATCTAATCCTTTCAAGGTTATCTGGTGTGATAGGTGTGTAGTACACGTGTTCCTCCAGCTCCACATCAGTTGTGCCAGAGATTGGTAGTAGGATTCACTTTTGGTTGTACCACCTTCATGTGCAGGAAGGACTGATACTGGATGCTGTTTCCCTTGTTAGCCCCTTCCTCAGTTTTTGATCTCAAGGGACTGACCTAAGAAATGGTGCTGAAACTTCCAAGTTTTTTATGCACGCTATCCTTGGATTCATTTGCTCTGCAGTATTTTTCATGTTAATATACAGAGTTCCCAGTGCTGTGAAGCTTTGAGAGCTGTTTGGAGACCTGTGTCCACTGAGGGCGCATGAATGCTTCTTGTAGCGATCAACATTTATTATCAAGGTTCTAGACTCTGGCTGCAGCCTGCTTGTCTTGGAATCCTCATCCAGTGTCATTCACTTTGGCCTGGGTTTTGGGATGCTAGCTTGCCTTGGACCTGTTGGACAACGACACGACCTGTTCAGGCAGCCAGCTGTGCTGAAATGTTTTTTTTCATAAGGAGTGATTTTTCTGGCAATGCGTCCTTGCATACTCTTGCTTATTTCACTTTTGCTATTCCTGTCCCTCAAAACTTGTCTGTGGCCAGGGTGCACCTTGACGTACTTTTGTGTGATAGTGACAGCTTTGCTATCTGTTGTCCAACTACTGCAAGTATTCTCAAACCTGAGGAGTGTGCACTTGCTGTCCTGTAGGCTTTTGTCTGTGTGAATTCTTGGTTTGATGTTGACGGTGTACAGGAAAGAATGCTCTGCTTTACCTGTCATCTAAAAATAGCCTCTCTTCATAAACTGCAGACCTCCAGGGCTTTTCTTTCCATCAAAGAACTCTTGTATTGTCGCTTTGTTCCATAATTGGGGTCTGTTCACTATAACAAACCCCCGATACATGCTTGTACCCAGGGAGACTGGGTCATGGCAGAAGGAACACTCAGTTCTCTATCTGCTTCGTCTCTTATATCACCTATAAGCTTGGTGACACCTTGCTCTTCATACAGGCTGATGACATCATGGGGTTCACTTTTTTCTCTTTC